CTACAGGCATGTGCCACCATGCCTAGCTAATTTTTCAATTTTTTCTGGAGACAGGGTCTCACTGTGTTGCTCAGGCTGGTCTAAAACTCCTGGCCTCAAGCTGTCTTTCTACCTTGGCCTTCCGAAGTGCGGGGATGACAGGTGTGAGCCACCAGCATGTGCTTAGAGGGTAACTGGTAACCACCATCACTATCGAGAGAACAATTCCCTTACCCTAACCAGTTTCCTCCTGTTCCTCACGCTCTAACCTCTGCCCTCTCCTACCCCATGCAACTGCTTATCTGTTATCACTATTGTTTTTTTTTGTTTTGTTTTGTTTTTGTTTATTTTATTGAGATGGAGTCTCCCTCTGTTGCCCAGGTTGGAGTACAGTGGCATGATCTCGGCTCACTGTAACCTCTGCCTCCCAGGTTCAAGTGATTCTCCTGCCTCAGGCTCCTGAGTAGCTGGGATTACAGGTGCACACTACCACACTTGGCTGATTTTTTGTATTTTTAGAAGAGACACGGTGTCACTATGTTGGCCAGACTGGTCTCGAACTCCTAACCTCATGATCCGCCCACCTCGGCCTCCCAAAGTGCTGGGATTACAGGCATGAGCCACTGCGCCCAGCCAACTCTGTTCTTTTTCAAAATTGTTTTGGATATTTTGGGTCCTTTGCCTTTTTGTGTAAATTTAAGATCAGATTTTCAAAATCTTTTCACAAAGTGTGTTAAAATTTTAATTGGAATGACACCAAATCAATAGGTCAACTTGAAGAGGACTGACATCTTAACAATATTGAGTGTCCCAAGCCACAAACATGGTGTATCTTTCCATTGATATAGGTCTTTTTCCATGTCATTTTGTAACGTTTTGTGTTTTTCATTGCACAGGTCTTGTATATCTTTCATTAAATATTCCTGGGTATTTTTCATATATTAGCCTATATCTTGTAAACTTGCTACATTCACTTAATATATATATATTTTTTTGAGTTGGAGTTTCGCTGTTGTTACCCAGACTGGAGTGTAATGGCACGATCTCGGCTCACCGTAGCCTCCACCTTCTGGGTTCAGGCAATTCTCCTGCCTCAGCCTCCCGAGTAGCTGGGACTACAGGCGCGCACCACCGTTCCCAGCTAATTTTTGTATTTTTAGTAGAGACAGGGTTTTGCCTTGTTGACCAGGATGGTCTCGATCTCTTGACCTTGTGATCCACCCGCCTCAGCCTCCCAAAGTGCTGGGATTACAGGCTTGAGCCTGTAATATTTTTAATAGTATTTAAAATACCAGGACTTCAACTCAGATCCGGAACAAGTAAACTCAATAAATATTTATAGAGTTCTCCATTTTAAATACACAAAACATTGATCAGCCATTATTAATACCCATTTTTAGAATGAAGCAATATTCCTGTTCTCTCTCCCTCTTTTTCTTCCTCTTTCTTCCCCTCCTTCTCTCCTTTTTTTACTTTTCAACATCCTAGTTCCTCACCTCTACTCAATACATTCCTCTGAACACCTGATTCCTTGTGATTCTCCCATCCTACTGAAACCTCCAATCCAAAAAAAAAAAAAGAAGATATATTAGATTTTATCAAAAGCAAAAAAAAAAAAAACAAAAAAAAACAAAGTATCAGCTGAATTGGTTTCTTCCAGAGCCCTTTCCTTGGTTCACAGATGACTTCTTCTCCCTGTGTCTTCATAAGATTTTCCTTCTGTACCCACCTGTGTCCTAAACTCCTCTTCTTATAAGGATATAAGTCATTAAGAAAAAAAAAAAAGCCACAGACAGTTTAGAAGCCACTCAGACAGAAATGATAGCTGAAACCAAGACAATGGGTAACACACAGGTGGGAATGTGGGGGTGAATAACTGGACCAAGGGCTGAAAAAAAAAGAAGCTCTCACTCAGGTTGTGCAAGTTCCCTCTGGTTCTAATTTGCTGCAAGTTTTATTGAGAGGGTGTTGAATTTTATCAAATGCATTTTCCTGTTTCTATTGAAATGATCATAAGACTTCTTTTTTTATTCTATTAATATGGTGAATCATATTGATTCACCAAACTTTTAAATCTTTTAGAAGTTACACTAATCTTGTATTCCCCAAATATGCCCCACTTGGTCTCGATGTGTTCTCCTTTCTATAGATGGTTTGATGTAATTTGCTAATATTTTGTTAAGGATTTTTGTGCCTATGATAGGAATATTAGTCTGCAGGGTGTGTGTGTGTGTGTGTGTGTGTGTGTGTGTGTGTGTGTGTCTTTTGCCTGGTTTTAGAATCAGAGTAATAGTAGCCTCGTATAAACTAAGCTGGGAAGTGTTGTCTCTCCCTTTTCTGAAAGAGCTTGTGTAGAACTGGTGTTGTTTCCTCCTTAAACAGGGGAGTATTTACCACTGAAGCCATGTCAGCCTGGCGTTGCTTTATGGGAAGGCTTTTATTTGTAAGTTCAATTTATTTAATTGATGTCAGACTGTTATACGTTTTGTATTTTTTCTTGAATGAGTTTTGGTAACTGTGTCTTTTAAGGAATTTGACCATTTCACATGGGTTGTCATGATTATTGGTATAAAGTTGTTCACAATATGCTCTTTTCATTCTTTTCTGTTTGTTGGTTTTGTTTTTGTTTTCCAGATGGAGTCTCGCTCTGTTGCCCAGGCTGGAGTGCAGTGGGGCCATCTCAGCTCACTGCAACCTCCCCCTTCTGGGTTCAAGCCATTCTCCTGCCTCAGACTCCCAAGTAGCTGGGATTTCAAATGTGCACCACCACGCTCAACTAATTTTTGTTTTTTTAGTAGAAACATGGTTTCACCATGTTGGGCCAGGCTGGTCTTGAACTCCTGACCTCAAGTGATCCACCCGCCTCGGCCTCCCAAAGTGCTGGGATTACAGGTGTGAGCCACCGTACCTGGCCCTCAGTCTATTATTTTTTTATGTCTATAGAATCTGTAGTAATGCTTTCTTTTTTATTCCAAATGTCAGATGTTTGTGTCTTCTTCTTAGCCAGTCTCCGTAGAGGCTTATACAGTTTATTTTTATTTTTTTATTGTACTTTGAGGCTTATACATTTTTTTTTTTTTTTTTTGAGACAGAGTCTCACTCCATCACCAGGCACCAGGCTGGAGTGCAGTGGTGTGACCTCGGCTCACTGCAACTTCCACCTCCTGGGTTCAGGCAATTCTCCTGCCTCAGCCTCCCGAGTAGCTGGGATTACAGGCGCGAACCACCATGCCCAGCTAATTGTTTTGTATTTTTAGTAGAGACTGGGTTTCACCATGTTGGCCAGGATGGTCTCAATCTCTTGACCTCGTGATCCACCCGCCTCGGCCTCCAGAGGTGCTGGGATTACAGGCGTGAGCCACTGCGCCCGGCCGAGGCTTATACATTTTATTACTCTTTCAAAGAAGTGGTTGTTGGTTTCATAGATATTCCATATTGGCTTTTTTTCTCTTTATTATTTTTTTTTTTTTTCTGCTTGCTTTGGTTTAACTTCTCTTTTTCTAGTATTCTAAGGTAGATCCTGGATTTGAACCTTCTTTTTCTTCCAATGTAGGCATTTAAAACTATACATTTCCCTCTAAACATTGCATTAACTTTATCTCAAATTCTAATATGACATTTAATATTTAAAAATATGATTTTATTATTTTATTTCCTATGGCCCAGAACATGGTTTGCTATATGTACTTGAAAAGTATGTGATTCTGCCATTATTGGGTGTTGTGTTATATAAATAAATACTAATTAAAGCAGGTCCATAGTATTGATCAGATCTTCTGTCTCTTCTAATTTTCGTCCAGCTATTAGTATTTCAGCCATTGCTAAGAGAGGAATGTTAACATTTCTAATTACAATTGTGGAATTGTTCCCTTCCATTCTGTCCATTTTTGTTGCATGTATTTGAAACTTTCTTATTGGGCAAATATGTATTTATGCTCGTTGTGTCTCCCTGACAAATCTGCTCTTTTTCATTGTGGAGTGTCCCTCTTCATCCCTAGTAAAATTCTGTTTTGAAATCTATTTTATCTGATATTAATGTAGCCACTTGGACCTTCTTGTGCTTATAGTTTGTATGGTTTATCTTTTTTCCATTTGTTAACATTCAACTTGTGTCTTTATATGGTTACCTTTTTTTTTGAGACGGAGTTTCCCTCTTGTTACCCAGGCTGGAGTGCAATGGTGCGATCTCGGCTCACTGCAACCTCCGCCTCCTGGGCTCAGGCAATTCTCCTGCCTCAGCCTCCTGAGTAGCTGGGATTACAGGCACGCACCACCATGCCCAGCTAATTTTTTGTATCTTTAGTAGAGACGGGGTTTCACCATGTTGACCAGGATGGTCTCGATCTCTTGACCTCGTGATCCACCCGCCTCGGCCTCCCAAAGTGCTATATGGTTACCTTTTTAAAAATTCCATTCTGATAGTATGTAATCTTTTTTTTTTTTTTTTTTTTTTTTTTTGGTGATGGAGTTTCGCTCTTTTTGCCCAGGCTGGAGTGCAGTGGTGCCATCTCGAATCACTGCAACCTCTGCCTTCCAGGTTCAAGTGATCCTCCTGCCTCAGCCTCCCAAGTATCTGGGATGATAGGCACATGCCACCATGCCTGGCTAATTTTTATATTTTTAGTAGAGACGGGATTTTATCATGTTTGTCAGGCTGGTTTCAAACTCCTGACAGCAGGTGATCCACCCGCCTGGGCCTCCCAAAGTGCTGGGATCACAGGCATGAGCCACCATACCTAGCGAATAATATCTAATCTTTAATCAGTGTTTATTCCATTATACTTTACTGTAATTATTGATATGATTGGGCTGGGTCTATCATTTTATTTATATTTATGTATTTATTTAGAGACAGGGTTCTCTCTGTTGCCCAGGCTGGAATGCAGTGGCACAATCACAGCTTACTGCAGTCTTGCCCTCTCTGCAAGGGTTCACTCAACTTCAGCCTCCCAAGTAGCCGGGACTACAGACCTGCATGCACCTCCATGCCCAGCTAAGTTTAAAAAAATTTTTTTTTACAGATGGGCTCTCACTATGTTGCCCAGGCTGGTCTTCAGCTTCTGGACTCAAGTGCTCTTCTTGCCTCGGGCTCCCAAAGTGCTGAGATTACAGGTATGAGCACCACACCTTTGTTTTCTGTTTGTCTTCTCTGTTTTCCTCCTTTCAGTTCTTACTTTTCTTTTTTCTTTTCTCATTTGAATGTTTTCCATAATTACATTTTGATTTTCTCATTAGTCTCTTAGCTATACTTCCTTACACTATTTTTTTTTGAGATGGAGTTTTGCTCTGTTGCCCAGGCTGGAGTGCAGTGGCACAAACTCAGCTCACTGCAACCTCCACCTCCTGGGTTCAATCAATTCTCTTGCCTCAGCCTCCTGAGTAGCTGGGATTATAGGCACATGCCACCACTCCCAGCTAATTTTTTCTGTTTTTAGTAGAGATAGGGTTTCACTGTGTTAGCCAGGATGGTCTCAATCTCCTGACCTCGTGATCCACCCGCCTGGGCCTCCTAAAGTGCTAAGATTACAAGTATGAGCCACCGTGTGTGGCTTTCTTTATATGTTTTAATGGTTGCCCTAAGGAAGATAATATACAATGCACTTATAGGTCAGTATCTCCTCTGTCCCTTGTTATCGTTATTACATGTAATATATCTATAATTATATATAATATATATCTATAATATATTACATGTAATATATGTATAATGTACATACATTATACACCTCACAAGAACATGTTTAATTTTTCCTATGAGCCATTCTATGGTTTATAAAACAACTGAGGATTTGTGTTTCCATCTGATACCATTTCCCGCAGCCTGAAGAAGTTTCTTTAGCATTTCTCGTGGTGCAGTTCTGTTGGTGAGGACATCTCTTAGTTTTTTTTTTTTTTTTTTTTTTTAGGCGGAGTCTCGCTCTTGTTCCCCAGGCTGGAGTGCAATGGTGTGACCTCGGCTCACCGCAAGCTCCGCCTCCTGGGTTCAGGCAATTCTCCTGCCTCAGCCTCCCGAGTAGCTGGGATTACAGGCACGCGTCACCATGCCCAGCTAATTTTTTGTATTTTTAGTAGAGACGGGGTTTCACCATGTTGACCAGGATGGTCTCAATCTCTTGACCTTGTGATCCACCCGCCTCGGCCTCCCACAGTGCTGGGATTACAGGCGTGAGCCACCGCGCCCGGCCCACCTCTTAGTTTTATTTTATCTGAACATGTCTTTATATTGTTTTTATTCTTGAATGATATTTTTTCTGGATGTAGAATTCCTGATTGATAGTTTTTTTTTTACCTTCAGGAGTTGACAAATGTTCCACTATCTTTCGGACTCCATGGTTTCTGATAAGAAGCAGTCATGGATCAACTATTGTTTTTCTGCGTATGTCATTTTCTTGTTGGTGCTATCAGTGTTTGCTCTCTCGGCTTTCAGCAGTGTGAGGTGTCTTAGCACAGGCTTCTTTATGTTTATTTTGTTAGATGTGAGTTTAGCATGTTTTGCTTGCGAGATTCCACCTTTCACCAAGTTTGGAAAATTTTCGCTATAGTTTCTTCACATACTTTTTTTGCAGGGTCCTGTTTTCTTTTTTCTGAACTTCTCATCTTGCAGTTACACTAATATTTGAAAATTTGGTATCCTCTAACAGGTCCCTGAGATTCTTTCTCTTCATTGTTTTAAAAACGTATTGTTTTCTTCGGAAATTTTGTATGTATGTATGTATGACTATATGTGTGTATGTGTCTATGTATCCACGTACCTATCGTTTATCAACATATCTATCCACTGATTTGATCTCACTTATTTTTCTTCTGTCATATCCTTTCGGCGAAATCTCTCCAGTGAGCTTTCACATGCAGAAATTGAATTTTTCAGATTTACAACTCAACATTTGGTCCTTTTTTATAATTTCTTCTTTTGTATTTTTAGTAGACACAGGGTTTCACCATTTTGGCCAGGCTGGTCTTGAACTCCTGGCCTTAAGTGATCTGCCCGCCTTGACCTCCAAAGTGCTGGGATTACAGGCATGAGTCATCATGCCCAGCCCCCCCCCTTTTAAAATCATTTCTATTTCTCTGCTTCGATTGTTTATTTCTCTCTTGAGGTTTGTGTTCACTGCAGTCACGTTTTGTTTCACCTCATTTAATTTAGTTATAATCGTTGCTTTAAAATCTGTTAGTTCTCCCATCTATTTCATCTCATGGATAGATTTTTCTCTTCTCTTGAGAATGTGTTCCAATTTCTCACTTGTGTTTCAGGTAACTTTTGGATTGTATTTTGATATTATTAATAGTAAGCTGTGGGGATTCTGGATTCTGTTAGTCTCCTCTGTTGAGTGTTGTTCCTTTGTTTTCACAGGCCATTTTCTTATGTGGGCTTGGACTGAAAACTCTATTTCTTTAGGGGTAGCCCCAGTTTTGCTTCAGATCTTTTGTATTTAGTTGAACTTGCTATGCCACGATTTGGTTTATTTAGTGGGCAGTCAGCTATATGGATAGAATCAATTTGGGGGTCCCCTCTATCCTACTCCATTTTCTGCTGCTTGTAACAGGATATCTGAAACTGGGTAATTTATAAAGAAAAGAAATTTATTTCTTACAGTTATGGAGGCTGAAAAGGCCAAGGTTGAGGGGCTGCATCCGGCAAGGGCCTTCTTGCTGATGGGGACTCTTTCCAGAGTCCCAAGGCAGTTCAGGGCATCACACGGTGAGGGGTCTGAGGGTGCTAGCTCAGATCTCTCTTCCTCTTCTTATAAAGCCAGGAGACCCACTCCCAAGATAACCAATTAATCCATTATTCCATGAATGGATTAATCCATTCGTGAGGACAGTGCTGACAACCCAATCACCTCTTAAAGGCCCTTCCTGTCAATACTGCCACACTGGGGATTAAAATCTCAGCATGAGTCTTGGAGAGGAGAAACATTCAAACCATAGCACCCTCTCTGAATATTTCTCTTTTGGGATTTTTCCATTCTCTTCAGTGTTCACATTTTCATATATTTACTTTTATGTCTCCCCAGGCCAGAAAGAATGCAGAGTTTTGCACATATGTCCCCAACCACTGCCGTGCACATCCATGTACTACAATTAGTCCCAGGCTAAAAGCTGCAGAGATGTGAACTTGCCTGTACAGCTCCCCATCTCCCTTCCTCCAAGTGAGCAGGTACTCCTCATCAGAGTCTGCTTCCGTTCACTCCCAAACCCTGCAGGTGGTCGCTTTTTTACAGTATGTCTAGGTTCTACGATTATTTACTATGGGGTACATATGCGTGGGGTCATCAAGTAAGGTCTTTGTCCATCTCATCCAGAAGTGGAAGCTGGTCATAAAGTGGTCCTCAGAGCACTTTGAATAGTACTGGCCTAAACCACTGTCTCAATGATGGCCCCATTCAGAACGACATTTGCAAGTTTCTCTTCCACAGTTTTCTACCAGATGTTTATCATTGAGGTTCAATGCCACATAGTGTCAGACAGAACTAATACCGTAATTCCATACCATAATTCCCAGTTCAGGCAGAGAGAGCACAAAGAGTACTAATATGCAAATACTGCTTGATACGGATTGACCTGACAAAGCTGACTTCAAAAAAACCGTTCTGGCTTTTACAGACTGTTCTCAGTGGATTTCCCTTCTTTCCTGTCAATGGATTTTCTTTCCTTGCTGACCTTTGACTTTCTGCGACCTTGACTGCTGGGAAGTGTAAGGCAGAGGAAGTCCTCAGGCAGGAGATAAACCTGGGCCTGTGCCCACAGAGATGATCTTTGAGAGGCCTGAGAGCACTCGCTGGGACAGCAGAAGTATTGTTATGATGGTTTGGAGCAGAGCCATGTCATGAATATTTTAATGTTTTATTTTAAACCTCATGAGACGTTGTTGCTTTATGATCGTGTTGTACTTTGGATGCTCATTTAGACGAAGCTGATGGTAGACACCGTTCTCTGTGTTCTTTACTCCTGACCGTCTCTCTCGTCTTCCATCTGGGATTGCTTCGGTCTCTAATTCACACTCCTTTGTATTTCCTTTAGCATGGATCCCTTGGCAGTTATTTGTATTTTTCGGCACACTGAAGACAGCATTCCACTATTTTGGTTTCCAGTGTTTCTGTGGAGAAAGCAGCTTACTCAATTCTCACCCCTTTAAAAATAAACTGTCTTTTTATTCCCCTGTGGCTTCTTAGCAGATTTTGTCTGTCTTTTTCCGTAATTTCACTGGATGTGAATATATGATGTGTCTATATGTATTCTCTTCGTGTATTCTGCTTTCTATTCACTGAGCTTCTGGAATCTGTGGTTTGGAATCTTTCATCAGTTTTGGCAGATTCTCAGTTATCCTATGTATTGCCTCTGTCTTGCTTCTCTCTCCTTTTGAGACTCCAGTTACATGTGTTAGACTTTCTCAACTTATTTTCTGTGTCTCTTGGCTCTTCCATTTTTTTGTATTTTAATTTCTTCATTTTGGATAGTTTATCTTCCGGTTCGTTTATTCTCTCTTTATGTCTCTCTAACCTGTTTTAATCCTATCAATTGAGTTGTTACTGTGTTATTTCTCATTTCAGTTCCAGAATTTCTATTTATTTATTATATAAATACACGATTTCACTTTTTATTGTTCAATTCCTTGCTCGGACTTTTGAATTATTTCTTTGAACATAAGAAACTTGTTGTGTCATTGCCATGTTTCATTCCAGTATCTTAAGTCTCTGTGGGTCAGTTTCTGTTGTATGTTGCTTCTGCTGGTTCTTATAATATCTGGTTTCCCTGTAGAGTGAGTTACTTTTGTGTTGTCCATTCTATTTGAGAATTATTTGTCGGAATAATCTGATGTTTAAGATGGCACCTTCTTCCAAAGATGGTTTTCATCTGGTTCTGCCATGTGGCTAAGTGTGCCAACCTTCTGGTGTGTCTTCATGTTTTGGTTGCTTGGATCAACCAGGTGACCATCAGATTTTTGAAATATTTCATTTGGGTTAAAAAAAAAGTTTTCCTCATTCAGAGGAAATAACTTGGCGTGACATTACCAGAAGTGAAGCCTTTTCTATTTTATGAAACTTCTTGTAAAAGGCAGGGATCGCATCTTTTCTCCACGTGTATATGGAGAAAATCATAGATCAGATACA